AGGGGAGGGGAGGAGAAAGGGGGAAAGAGAGGGAAGCGGAGGGGAGGAGAGGAGAAGGAAAGAGGGAGGGAGAAGGAAGCGGAGGGGAAGAAAGGAGAAGGAAAGAGGGAAGCGGAGGGGAGGAGAGGAGAAGAGGGAAGGAGGGGGAAGCAGAGGGGAGGAGAGGAGAAGGAAAGAGATGGAAAGAGTTGGACTGTTGATGTAAAATTGAAAATATGATGTATTATACAGGAAAATGCGTAATAAGAATATTGTTTTTTTTATGCAACAACAACAAAAAGATTCCACAGGTAGACAATTGTGCTTTGTTTACAAATCTTGGCTGGAGGGTTTCATTTAAACCAGAGTTTGCTGGTTCAGGTAAAACAGTTTCCTCCAACCCACGCCAAGCATGATCAGAATTATGAATTGCAAGAGAGAAGGAATGGACGAGGACAGAACCCGCTTCCAATCCTCCACACCAGGGGTGGGATGCAAATATTTTTACTAACAGTCCTGTGGGCGTGTCCAGGTGGGTATGGCCATGTGACTGGGTGGGTGTGGCTTTTTTTTTTTGCGGAGCACCGCATCCCATTTTTTTTTTTCCTCTTGGGCCTCAGGGAAGCCTCCTGGGCAAAGCAATGAGATAGCAAGGGGTATCCTGGAACAGCTGATCATCGGAACAGCTGATCATTGGGAGAAAAAAAAAACACCGGTTCGGCCGAACTGATAGCTGTTTTTTTTACTACTGGTTTGGCCGAATGGTAACATGTTTTTACTACCAGTTCGTCCAAACCAGGCCGAACTAGTAGAATACCACCACTGCTCCACGTCATCGTAAAGACTGGAATAAGGACAGCACTTGTGGAAGGACAGAATGAAAACTGACACAGCAACAAACCCCCTGCATCTATCAACCGTCCAAAGCCCGAGACGTACTTTTCATGGATTTTCAGGACACGATGCACGATTGGGATTTCTCTCCCTTCTATCCTAAAGACAACGATTTCCCCCACTCTGATCGGCTGCTCGACGCGGTTGGTCAAGAACAGAAGATCGCCTCTGTGGAAGGCGGGTTCCATGCTACCACTGGAAGATTAAAAAGCATCTGTTAATAATAACAGTTTTTTTAAAAAAAAAAATCACCTCAAATTCTGCATTTTTGCCTTCAGGTGGGAGTGGCCCTGCCAGTTTTAGAGGATTAGAGCAGAGGTCTCCAATTTTGGCAGCTTTAAGACTTGTGGACTTCAACTCCCAGAATTCCTCCTCCAGTCACGTTAACTCAGGAATTCTGGGAGTTGAAGTCCAACAAGTCGTAAACTTGCCAAGTTAGAAGACCTTTGCACTAGAGAGTTACACCCTGGGTCCATTTACTAGAGGAATTAAGACAAGAAGGCTGCCTTCTGATTTTCTGGCACAGACATGCGTAGCCCGCTCTGCAACCATAAATGCCAAGTTGTTGCACACGGATTGTGTCTTTCTGTCTTCCCCGCCAGCTGCCTTCCACAACAGATGGAACAGTTTTGCTTGCTCATTTTGTACCCAGTAACAGCTCCCCCTTATTTCAAGGGTGCAAATAAATGCTTTCTTTTCTAATTCTTCCCCATCTGTTTTCTCTCTTGATGTCACATCAACTCAATGGCAAGGTAAGGGGTGCCTTCTCTTTTCATTCCTGTAAAGAAAAGGTAGGAGAAATGTGGAGCTTTGTGATGAATGCATATGGGTTTTTAGGGGATATAATCTGGAATGGATTTGCATCACTGTCCCTGTAAGGCAAGGGTCTTCAAACTTGGCAAGTTTTAAGGATTGTGGACTTCGACTCCCAGATTTCCTGAGCTAACATGACTGGAGGAGGAATTCTGGGAGTTGAAGTCCATAAGTCTTAAAGCTGTCAAGTTTGAAGACCCCTGATCTACAGTATCTATCTCCATCTCCATTGTCTGTCTGTCTGTCTATCCTGTATCTATCTATCTATCTATCTAATCTATCATGTATATCTACAGTCTGTCTGTCTGACTGTCTGTCTGTCTATCTATCTATCTATCTATCTAATCTGTCTATATCTATCTAATCTGTCTATATCTATCTGTCTCTGTCTGTCTAATCCAAGGGTCTTCAAATTTGGCAACTTTAAGTCTTGTGGACTTCAACTCCCAGAATTCCTGAGCTAACATGACTGGAGGAGGAATTCTGGGAGTTGAAGTCCACAAGCCTTAAAGCTATCAAGTTTGGAGACTCCCTGGTATAAGGCTAGCAGCTGCTTCAAAGGCAGCCGCCTACCGATCTTGCTCTGAATACATGGAAAGCAATCAACTTTGCATTGATCATTCAGCCAATACAGGCAGTCCTTGACTTGCAATCTTTTATTTAATGACCGTCTGAAGTTGCAGAAGCACAGAAAAAAAAAGAAAAAAGCAAACGGTGACTGGTCTTCACACAATCGTGACGGCATCCCCACAGTCACACGATCCAAATTTGGATGTGTGGAAAGCCTTTAAAACTGTGGCAGCGTCCTGAAGTCACATGGCTGCCATTTGCGATCTTCCCAGCCAGCTTTGGACATGGAAAATCAATGGGAGAAGCCTGATTCATTTAACGACTGCATTATTCACTTAATAATTTCAGGGATTTACTTCACAGCAATGACCCCAAAAGCCGTAAAATCAGGCACAATTCACTGGCAACCACCTCATCCTGGGTGCCTCCTTTTTTTTTTTTTTTTGAACTATTACCATCTGGCAGACGGTACAGGATAATAAAAACAAGGACAAACGGGCTGAAAAACAGCTTCTATCCCAGGGCAAGAGCACTCTTGAATTCAACTGTGTACTGCAGTGTTGGTGTGGTGTGGGGGGTTTTCGGTTCAATGTGTGGAGTGTGAAGGATGTGAGTTTGTGTTTATTTTCATGGTCATTGATGTGCACTGAAGATGGTGTTTGATTTCATTGTACAAGGTGCCATAACAATAAAGTAAACTAAACTAAACTAAACTAAACCACCTTACTTAGCAGCAGAAGTTCTGGCCTCAGTTGTGGTCATAAGCCTATTTGAAAACAGATTCTCTGCAAGAAAGATGGCAGTGTAGCTCAAGTAGGACTCATAAACCACTCACAAGACAGGCTGTAAAACTAAACTTTGCCCTTTTGTCAAGATTACACTTGTTCAAAGATCACGCTAGCAGAAGCCAGGTGCTCTCCAAGCTATCGTGGCCAGTTCCCGCTTCCTAATCTCACACACAGTAGGACGGGTTGAGCCCCAGATTACCAGAAATGTTTTACCTCAGTACGACGACGATGGGACTCTCACTGCCCGTTGCCACCATCAACCCCTTCCAGATCATCAGCGCTGAGGAAACGATCATCCCAAAATTCAGAACCTGGTAATACAGCTAGGTAGGGGTGAGGGGGAGAAGGATTATCACTGGGAATTCAGGACGGTCCTTTGCAAACCACAAAGACCCTCCCATGCAATGCGCTCTTCCTTGGGCAAATTGTGATGAGCCACCTTTTTAGTGTTAAAATTTGTATTAATCTAGAATTTATAAAAAGAATGTGCAATGAAAAGGGACTATGACAAAGAACCAACTAAATTAATAAGTTAACATAAACTATTAAAAGCAAGGAGAGACATTGGTAACTTTTTAATTATCATTATCATTATTATGCAAACACATATTGTTTATCTTTATTTTTAAAATAAATATTAAAGGATATTTGAAATAATTGAAACAAAAAGATGTTTCGATTGAGATTAATGAAAGAGGCTAGAATTAATGTGTTTGTTTCTCTCCTTACTGAAAATTTGAGATGGAAAAGGTAATAATAGAGTTAAGTATGCATATATGAATGTATAATTGCTGTCATATTTGTATGTAAAGGTGATGACTCGGAAATATGTTGTCCATTAAAAAGAGATTTTTGTTTTTAATGTGAAAAACTGAATAAAATTTGTTAAAAAAGAAAGAAAAAGCTGACTGGGTGACTTTGGGCCAGCCCTTTCTCTCAGCCTGACCCACCTCACAGGATTGCGGTTAGGAGCCCAAGCATTAGATGGGTATGTTCAGTGCCTTGAATCACACATAGTGAAGGTGAGATTCAAGGAAAATCCTTTTGGTGAGATTTGGATCGGGAAGGCAACAAACCCCTGGTTTCTGTTATCCGTCTCCTTTCCCATCCAGGGTCCCGCCCCGGCCTGCCCGTTCTTCCTGCTGTGCAATTCAAGTTCCTTCATCGTGCTCACACATCAATCGTAGTATTATATTGTTATTTTTTATTTATAACTCATGGAGAGGAACATACTTAACCGCTGTATTTTACCCCAAAACGCAGACCTGAAGGCAGGAGAAGCAGCAACGGGTGGAAACTAATCGACTTAGAACTAAGGAGAAATTTCCTGATCGTGAGAAACAATCAGCGGAGTGATTTGCCTTCAGAAGTTGTTGGAAGTTTTTAAGAGGAGATTGGACAACAGTTTGTCTGAAATGGCATAGGGTTTCCTGCCTGAGCAAGGGGTCAGACTAGAAGACCTCCAAGGTCCCTTGCAAGTCTGCTATTCTGTTAATCAGTGCATCGCCTTCTCTCCAGACGTTGTAAATGCTCCAACACTGGAAGTTTTCAAGAAGAGATTGGACAATCATTTGTCTGAAGTGGCATAGGCTCTCCTGCCTGAGCAAGGGGTCGGACTAGAAGACCTCCAAGGTCCCTTCCAACTCCGCTTATCCTGATGCACACAAACGCACCACACAGAAAGGACAGACTATCAGCCCCCTCCATTGGTTCTTCTGACCCCTTGCCGTCTTCCTAAGTACTTTGCACTGGACCTGGACCTTCCCCACTCCTTAACCCACGGCCACGCCTGCTGGGGAGGATGGGATCTGTAGTCCAGCCCTCCTGGAAGGAGGCTGGGCTGATCTTGCAGCAGAAAAGAGGGGGGGGGGAGCAGCCCCGCTTGGTCACGTGACGTACCCAGCATGCACACCGGTTTTACCAACTCAACGGGCAGGGGGTGGGTGGGGGGTGTCCAGCCGACCTCACCCCGCGCGGGAGGGGGGACCGACGACGGCAGCCGCGCAGCCGCCCCCGCAGCGGAGAGCAGTCCTTCCTCCGCGACCCTCGCCCCTCCACTCCTCCTCCTCCCGGAGCCCCCGCGAACCTGCCGCTTATTCATCCGCCGAACATCGTCCAGAAAGTCCAGCGACAGCATCCCGCCGGTCAAGGTGGCTGCAGCCGGGAGCCCCGACCGTCTCACACTTCCGCTTCCGGCCGCCGACACCAATATCCGGCCAAGCTGGTGGAGAGGCTGGGAGGTGGAACGTAAGATCTCGAGGCCCGTCTAGACCAGCCCGTGTTGAGCCCTGCCGGGGGTGGACGACGAAACGTCACTTCCGGTTCTGCACGCGGAGTAGAGAGTTGAGCTGGGGGGAAAGAGCGGCTTTTTGGGGGGAGGGGTTAAGGAGGGTTTGATGCGAAGTCCTCCCGGCTATTTTTATTTGTTTATTTATTTTTGACCTTTAATCTGAAAATCGGATTTCAAATGAAAGGAAGATTTTTATTTATTTATTTATTTTGCAGATTTCTCGGCGGACCTGGCGTGCCTTGTTGCAATGCAATAAGATTCCCTTTGCAAATTGCTAACGAATCCAGTTTCAAGTGTCTTTTAAAGAGAAAGGTGAAAATCTCCTTTGAATGATAGATGGCAATCTTGGTGACTTTAGGAAGAGCCGCCTTAGTTAGAATTGGAAAGTAGTCTGTCACTGCCTGATTTGTTTTGTTTTTCAACCTCCCAGAGGTATGTTGATTAAAAAAAACCAAAACTTTGGGAACTTTTAAAAACCATGGACTAAAATTCCCACAATCCCCCAGCCAGTCATTGCTGTGTCCCTATGTCCAGAGCTGGTGAAAATTTGATTGGCAAAACAATTTTGCGGTTATTTTGAACTGAGCAACTGCATTCCCACTCTGGCTAGTAATACTATTACTAAATTTGCAGATGATACAACAGCGGTGGGACTCATCTCCAGGGGGGATGAGTGCCTACTGAGATGAAGTGCTTTTGTGGTGTGGAGACAATACTTGGTCCTCAACATCAATAAGACCAAGGAGCTTATAGTGGATTATAGAAGGAACAGAACAGAAACCCGGCCCTTGCTTATCCATGGAGACAGAGTGGAGCAAGTGGCCTGTTTTAAGTTTCTGAGTGCTACCATAAAAGAGGACCTGACCTGGGGTGCCCACATTACAGCCCTGGTCAAAAGGGCCCAGCAGAGATTATACTACCTGAGGCTTCTCAGGAAACAAGAACTGAATGAAAAACTGCTGGTGACCTACTGCTGTACCAGAAGTGGTATTCAGCAGGTTCTGACCACTTCTGGAGAACTGGTAGCGGAAATTTTGAGAGTTCAGAGAACCGGCAAATACCAACTCTGACTGGAGATTTTACAGTATCCTTCACCTGCCATGCCCAGAGAACCGGTAGTAAAAAAAATTTGAATCTCACCATTGCGCTGTACCATAGAGTATCTTAACCTACTGCACCTCTGTATGATTTGCCAATTGCATGGTGGCAGATGGGACAGCACTCCAGAGGGTTAATATCATTGCCCAGAAAATCATGGGTTGCCCTCTCCCCTCTTTGGAAGAGCTTTAGAGCTCCTGCTGCCTTAAAAAAGTTCAAAACATTCTCAAAGATCCATCTCATCCTGGGCACCCCTTTTTTTGAACTATTACTATCTAGCAGACGGTACAGAATAATAAAAACAAGCACAAATGGGCTGAAAAACAGCTTCTATCTCAGTGCAGTAGCTCTTTTGAATTCTGCTGTATAGTGCAGTGTTAGTGTGGTGTGGGGTTTTTGGTCCAATGTGTGGAGTGTGAAGGATGTGTGTTTGTGTTTATTTTCATGGTCATGATGTGCACTGAAGGTGGTGTTTGATTTCATCGTAGGAGGTGCAATGACAAGAAAGTAAACTAAACTAAAGCAACTGATTGGACATTGTATTGTAATTATTAGAAGGGTTTCTTTTTAAAATGCTTTCTTTCACTTCATGCTTTGAAGGAAAAGAATGAGTACATCTCTCCTCCCTCCAAATCCAGACCTGATCTTGTGCAGTACGTTTTTCCTTCAGTCTTGCCAAGATGAACATGAAGGAGTGGCAGAATCTTATCTAACTGCAACCAGGTGGTAACCTGGAGAAGATTACTGTATGTAGGCTTTTTAGTAATAATGCACTTAAGTGTGGATCTGGTTTTTGTGCCTGACACAACGGTGACCTTCTACTGCTGCATCATAGAGCGTATCTTAACTTACTGCACCTCTGTATGATTTGCCAATTGCACAGGAGCAGATAAGACAGCACTCCAGAGGGCGAAGGTCATTGCCCAGATCATTGGTTGCCTTCTCCCCTCATTGGAAGAGCTTTATAGCTCCTGTTGCCTTAAGAAAGTTCAAAACATCCTCAAAGATCCATCTCATTCTGGGCACCCCCTTTTTTGAACTATTACCATCTGGCACAGGATAATAAAAACAAGGACAAATAGGCTGAAAAACAGCTTCTTATCCCAGGGCAGTAGCTCTGTTGAATTCTACTGTATAGTGCAATATTAATGCAAAATCGATAGTTTTCAATTCAGTTGTATAGAACGTGAAGGATGTGTGTTTTATTTTCGTAGTCATAATGTACACTGAGGATGGTATTTAATTTCATTGCACGAGGTGCAATGACAATAAACTAAACTAAAATCTTAGTTATTAAGATGACCAGCCCTGTGGTTATTTCCCCCATCTTCATGCTTCAGCAATATTTATACCCCTATGCAAATGTAACCAGTTGATGGATCGTCGAGTAATATTCACTTTGCTCCTTTTTTTCCACAACACATACACATGTTCACTCAAGGGTTCACATAAGTCAGCCAAGATAGAATGGATTCTCTTGTGGTTGACTGCCATGTGAATGCAGGGTGCAGACAGTATCTACTTCAGGGATGTAGCTCTTGTGAAAGGCTACCCAGGTAGTTCTCAACTTAGGACCAAAACCGAGCCCAAAGTTCCTGTGGCTAAGGGAGACAGTTGAGTTTCGCCCCGTGTTATATCCTTTCTTGTCATCGTTCCTAAGTGAATCGCTGCAGTTGTTCAGTTAGGAATACGGTTGTTAAGTGAATCTGGCATTGGAGGTTGCAAAAACTCCGAGACATGGCAATCAAGCATCTGAAATTGGATCACGTGACTGTGGGGATGCGGCAACAGTCACCATTGTGAAAAACGGTTGTAAGTCACCCCTTTTCAGTGCTGTTGTAACTTTGGTTGCTAAGCCGAGAATTGTAAGCCGAGAATTGCCTGTATTCTGCATTACAGCCTCTAAGCCAGGGGTGTCAAACTCAATTTCAATGAGGACCACTCGGATCGGGGGCACCTGTGGTGCTCCAAGCGCTCTGCCAGTCAAAATGGGCTCCCGAGCTCCGTTTTTGGCTGCAACGGCCTCCTGCAACCCTCTGCCAGCGAAAACTGAGCTGTTTTCATCGGCAGAGGCAGCGCAGTCCGGTCCTTTGCTGTTTCTAGGGCGGCTCCGTGGGCCAAATCTCAGTACGCCACGGGCCAGATCCGGCCTACAGGCCTTGAGTTTGACATCCCTGCTCTAAACACCGAGTGTTGTGGCCCACCAGCGGCCAGCTGGGGAGGAACATGGGCCAGTCCTGGAGTCTGGGGAAGCCTCTGACGAGTGCTCTGCATCGGAGGCAGAGATGGAGCCAGGGCCGTCCGACAGTTATCAGCTGCCTTTGGAATCGGAGATCAGTCGGGCAGAAGAACAGCTGGAGCCTGTTCCCAATGTGCACATGCGCAGAGCTACCAGGAGAAGGGAGCAGTTAAGGAACAAGGGGCGATTCGGGAGTAAAGGTGAACAGTGAATGCCTGCTCCCCAATAAGGAATACAGAGGAGCGAAAGGGGAATGGTGTGTGCAGGAGACAATTAGTACATTTCATTAGGGTGAAGATTTGTTTGTCACTCCTTGCCAATTATTTTCTGGTACATGGAAGCTATCGGCCTGACAACTCTCCAAGCCTGATAAGGTCTGTGATTGTAATTCACTCTTGAAAGACTGTTTGCTGGGGGACTTTGCTGGACGTGAACGAGAGGAATTCACATTAGCCTAAATAAAAGGGACGAGGAGTCTTGCTTCATGATTTCGTGAAGCCGAGGTCAGAACACTGAGATCAAGGTGAACTACGCTACTTGAGGCTCCCTTATGGACGTTCAGCATCGGGCCTGAAAAGTTCCTGTGGATTTGGGAGAGCTGCAAGGTCAGAGAAGGGAGGTTGGAAGCCACTCCATTATTAGACGGTTTTATTTGAAATACTTTGAAGTAAACATTATAGCAAGGCACAGAGGCCACTGCAGATTAAATAGATATGTGATGGCTTGGGAGGAATGCCCTCCCCGCCCCCCCCCCCCCGCTATTGTTAACTATAGCTAGGCTAACTTGTAAAACATTCCCTATAGACTAAAATGTACACGGTATCAAAAAATACAAAGGGTTTTATCAAAACACGTCCGGACGAGAAAGTGAGCAAATTCAAAATGGCAAGTATGATAAATAGGGTAACATATTTTTTTTCCTCTTTTTTAAATTATTTATAGTAAACAATGAGCAGGGAATCCGACTTGAAACGTAACAACCGTATATTAAAACAAACGAACGAACGAACAGAAAGTAAATATGGCAACGAAGCGTGAGGGGGAAGCACACGGGGCGGGGCGGGAGTGGGGTGGAAGCCACAGGTGGGGGGATGAGTCAAGGTGAAAGGGAGGAAAGAAAGCAATCTCCAATCGATGGGGGAGGGTGGGGGGGAGGGCAAGCAAGACAAAAAGAACCACCTGGAAAGGGGTGAGAGGAGAGAAAGGGTGTGCTTTGGAAGAGCAGGTGCACGTGAGGAAGGATCCAGACTGCGATCCCACACTCCTCATGGAATAAACTTCCGTCAGCCCCCAATTCTTGCATTTTTCCGAGCCGACAAGCAGGGGGGACGTTCCGAAGGGTAGAGGTGAGCAACTACGGCGAGGTGAAGACCGGTGAACTTCCAACTCCCAGCCATACTAGAAGGAAAATAAAGCCAGCCAATCTGACCCTCTCCCGGCCCCTCGGTATTTTTCCACCGGGACTGGAAGCAGCTCTGATCCACCGACAGAACAGGGGAGTGATCAACGCCGCTCCCCGATCTGAGGAAGAGGGGTACCAACCATGGAAGAGACTGCCCAAAGATGCGGCAGTGCAAGCCTCACATTACTTACTCTTACTCTTTCTTACGATGGATGTCAATCTTTACCTGGGCAGGTTTAAAATACCTGTGCCTCCAACT